GAAACCCCTGATGAGACCAGGGAATCTAGGGGGACCTGACTGTCCCCAGCTGGTGACCCACTGCCTGCACTGCCTGTGACCCATTGCCCACAACTGGCTGTTTCTCCATGGCAGCCACTACTGGTTTCACTGCATCCACATGAAATGCGACGTGGGCACCAGTGTGTGACCCCCATGGAGAGGAGGCTGGCTTCTCCTCCAAGCGTGATCCAGCCTGAGCTCTCCCCCTCCCCCCCATGCTGAGTATGGTGGCCCCTGCTGTTGCCCTCTGGCCTACACCTCACCTGTCTATGGTCAGTGGGGGCTGCTGTGCAGGGCAGAGAAAGATGGCCTTGGAGTGCAGGGGCCAGGGCTTGCGCCTCCTTCTGCCTTCACTGGACACATGTGTGGCCTTGGGTTTCTCTGGGGGTCCCAGGACTCCTCACGTAGCTGTGACTTTAAAAGGCAAAGGATGTAAAGGGGACAGAAGGACTTTGAAAAGGGACCATTACTTGCTTGTGAGACTACAGGGTGTCATGGAGAGGGAAGAGGGGAGGGCTTGAAGCCAATGCCTGCCTCAGCAGACCTGGGGAGCGGGGACCTGTCCCTCATCACACAGCTGGTAGGCGGGGCCTACCAGGAGGGTGATTCCAGGGCACAGGTGGGCTGAGGCTGTGACTCAGAGGCCTGTAGGGCTTGCTGCTGTCAGAGCGGCCCCACGCCCACTGCCTTGGCCTTACTGGAGAGGGCCTCATCCTGAAGCCTCAGGGGCCAGAGGTCCTTGTGACTCTGTTCTGGTGCAGCCAGAAGCCAGAAGCCCCCCTCCTCCTGCTGTGTGTGCTGGGTAACGTGAACGACTACATAGAAAAGTCCCCCAGTTGTGGGGAACTTCTGCAAAGTGAACACCCCTGGGAAAGCAGCACCCAGATGGAGAAACAGAATGTGGCCAGCACTATGGGGAAAACAGTGACAGACTCCAAGACAACTTAGGGACATTACTGGGGGACCCAGTAATGGCACTGAAAACATGCCACTCTCTTCACTGCAGACTGTCCCCCAGCCCTAGACAAGATGCCAATGCACCTAAGAGGGGCTGCACCTGACTCTTGGTGGGTGCACCTTGTCCCAGGGCCATGATCCATGAGGGCTCTTGCTTCCTCCCTAGGAGGGTGAGTGGGGCTCTCCCACTGCAGCCCTGTCCTCCCCTTCCCTCCCAGCCTCACCTCTGCAGATGTAGCTATTCCGAAAAGCAGAGCAACTCTCATCCTGAAATGGGTCAGAGGCAAGTGGAGGGGGAACAGGGTGCCAAGCACCCTCCCACATCCTCTCGGCATCTTCCCAGCCCCTCCTTGGTCCTCCCCATGTCATCCCAGTGCCTCCCACTGCCCACCCCAACGGGAACTCTTTCTTGCTCAGGATAGAGGTTATAGATCCACTCCTGGTCTTGGCCTAGAAGGGTACAGGCCCGAAAGATGCTGCAGGGTGAGAGAGGGTCTCGGGCACAGCCTCCAGCCTGGCACCCCGCAGTGAGATCCCATAATGCTCTCGGAAAGCCCCTGGGCGGGCACTGAGGTCCCTGCGGCACTGCCTAGCCTACTTTCTCCATCCTGGACACCTGCCCCCACCCCCAGTCTGACTTCTGAAGGCCTCTGCTGAGCCAGTACCTGCTTGATGGTTAAATTTTCAGAAATTTTGCAAGTTTATGGTTAAACACAGCCATCATTAAAATTTAAATGAAAAAACTTAATAAATAAGTTATACTTAAAACAGGTAACACAACTCATCACTCCCTAATCATTTTATTATATTTTAGTATTATCTGTGCTCTAAGGTGGATTTAAAGCTATTGGATCAGGAGGGCAGGTCTATATGTTAGTGTGCCAAATGTGCATGGTTTCTCAAATACACGGTGAGGTCATGTCCACAGGGGGCCTCAAACTCACCCATGTGGGGTATTCACTAGCTAAGAGGAGGTATTCCTCCTCCTACCTAGTGCTGCTGGAGTGTGGGACTCAGACCTGGTGGGAATGGCTGGGTGTCCACAGCACAGTCAAGTCCTTCTGGTCCTCAAGCCAGACACCCTGAGTTTCCTTCTCTGATGGTTTTGGGCAGGGCAGGCCTTCTTCATTTTTTTTTTTTCTTTTTGAGACAGAGTCTGACTTTGTCACTCTCAGTAGAGTGCTGTTGCATCATAGCTCACAGCAACCTTGAACTCTTAGGTTTAAGCCATTCTCTTGCCTCACCCTCCCAAGTTGCTGGGACTACAGGCCACAACACCCAGCTGTATTTTTTTGTTTTGTTTTGGTTTGGTTTTTTTAGAGACAGGTTTCACTCTGGCTCAGGCTCATCTTGAACATGTAAGCTCAGGCAATCCACCCACCTCCACCTCCCAGAGTGCTGGGATTACAGGTGCCAGCCACCATACCCAGCCCAGGCCTTCTTTTATTCTCCTAGCTCCCTCGGTTTCCAGATACTTGGGAAAGACTGGAGAGCCATAGGGAACCCTAAACTCGACCAGATTAAATCTTGTCTTGCCCAGGGTCTGGTGTCCAGTTTAAAAGGATTTAATGAAATTAGCAGAACACAGTAGGTGGCCTCCCCTGAGTCTGTGCACTGTCCCACACAGCGCCTCCTGCAGGAGAGAGCCCTGAGTCTCGCCCGAACTCAGCAGCATGGCAGGCTGCAGGGTGAGGGAGGGTCTCAGCACAGCTTCCAGTTTGGCACCCCCTCAAGTGAGCTCCCATCATGGAAGTGGTCCTGGCCCCTTGACCAGCGTCTCCTCTCCCTGGAGACCCCACACTTCCCAAAGGTGCCAATGCTCCTGGACACTGTCTCAGGGCCCTGCCTCTGCTTTCCATGCAGTTCATGACCATCCTCGGTGAAGGGAGACCCGCCCTCAGTCTTGAGGTGCCACTCCTGAACTTCTGCTTCCCTGGCTTTTGGGAAGTCCCAGAGGTGGACAGGGGGTAAAAGCCTGGATCCCCGGCCTTGGGAGCCCTGAAGTCTCCACTGTAACTTGGGAATCAAGACTCAAGGCCTGGCTAAGGGTTCCTGCTCCATCCAAACAGCCCGTGGCCACCTCTTGCTCTCGGCAGGGACAGCCTCGCTCCAGGGCCCCGCCAGAATGGCCTCCGTTAGACGCGCGGGAGAGCACCGAGGGACCATAGTCCCAGGTCCCGGTCACCAGGTGGGAGCTGGTGCAGAGCCGTCGCTCTCCTTGCGGGGGTAATTCCTTCTAAACCGCGCTCCGGTAGCTCACTCCGCGTGGGGACGCTTGTGCTAACCCCCTCCCGCGGCCGGAGTCCGGGAGAGGACGCGAGGGGGTGAGGGGGAATGGGGTTGGCAAGCAGGGTGAGTAGGGCGGGCAGAGGGGGGGACCCGCACACCGTCCGCGCGCAGAGCAGAGGACAACAGCGTGCGGGCCGCGGGGTCCCCCTGGCGCCAGGAAGCGGCGGCCGAAGGATGCGCGGGCTCGCTCGCAGCCGCGGGTTCAGGGAGGCCTAAAGGGGGAGCCAGCCGCGGTGGGGAGCCCCGGGTTGAGGGTTGGGAGGAGGCCTCAAACAAGATACCTTCCGTTCCCACCGCCAGGCAGCTGCCCAGTTCCCGCACCGAGGAGCTGCCTGGCGATCCCTCTGGACCGGGGCTGCGGGATCGGGATCTGGCTGCGGGGCCCCAGCCCATTGCCGCGCGCGCAGTGAGAGGCTGAGGGACGAAGGGGACGCGGGAGGTGTCAGCCGGCCAGAACTCCAGCCCCACCTGAGAGTCACGGCGCCCCAGCTTCCTTCTGTGTACAATGGGAGCTAGGATGGAGAGAATTTTCTGAGGAGCTTTTGGCTTTGACCGCCGAGGGGCGGGACAGCCTCTCTGGTCCTGGTCGGAAGATCCGAGCCGGGCGCCCGAACTCAGGCGGGAATCCAGGGAGCGGAGCCGGCAGCGCCGCTGTCCCGAAAAAGGAGGGAGCGTGCGATGTCTGGGCGGAGTGTCTGGGAGTAAAGTTCCAACGTGGGGAGGCTCACAGGAGCGACGCTCCCCACTCACCCCTGGGACCCTTCTCTCTGGCTTTCACGCGAGAAGTGGGACAAACTGGGCGCATAGGGAACCTAAAACCAGCGTGCACAGGCGAGCACACACTGGACACCCAGATGCGCGCCCCCGTCCCGCCTCGGGAAGGTGCTGGGGCGCGCGGACGGCTCCTCCCGCGGGCTCCGCGCCTCCCTGGAGGCCGCAGTGGGCGTCCAGCCCCTGCGACGCCGTCTGCCGGGAATCGGTTGGCTCCGCCGGCAGGAAAGGCTGAATCCGCCAGGGCGGCCTCCGAGAAGTCCCCGCCACCCCGTGCTCGCCTGGTGGGGGCTGTCACTCCCCTGGGACGGGACGTTGCCAGGTCCACGAAGCAAGGGATCACAGGGCAGGGGGGCGCAGGACAGGGAAAGCCAGGTCGTGGGAAGTCCCCACACCCACGGTGTTTAGTGGCTTTTCAACACCACAAGGATATCTAAGAAACAAACGTGCAGCGGCCCACTAACCCCCTCTCTGGACTTAGCGGCGCCGCGAGGCTCTACTTGGTGGTGCTGACTACCGGACACGCGGGTGTTGGTGATTTGAGTCCCCAAGGGTGGTCGGCGCGGCCGGGCAAGCCAAACCGAATTCTGCTTCCCAGGCCCGCGGTGGTGTCCCACCCGCCCATAACCCCGTCGAAGATCTGGGGACACCCTGCAGGGGGCCCAGCCTCATGTCCAGCGCCCAGCCCGACCTCCTTCCTGCCGGTCTCCCGGAGCCTTCGGGGAAGACGCGCTGACCAAGGCGGGGGCGGGCCGGCGGGCAGGGGGAGGAGGGGCGAGCCAGGAGGCCGAGGCAGCCCTGTCGCGCGCGGGTGCGACCCCCGCCGCGCAGCGGCCAGCCGCAGACAATTAAAGCGGGATTCCTCCCCCTATGACGTCGGCGGCGCGAGGCCCCTCCCGCGGCTGCATAAAAGGCGCGGGCTCCGCAGCGCAGGCGGCAGTGGGGGCCTGATAGCACGGCCGTGTGGACCTCGCAGCGCGGCGCCCAGAGCGCGGCCGCCCGCCTAGCGACAGCCGGAGCCTGGTCCCAGTCGGAGCCTAGCCCCAGCCAAGCCGAGCCGGGCCCAGAGCGCCCGGGGCCCGCAGCCATGCCGGCCGGCCGCGCAGCGCGCACCTGTGCGCTGCTCGCCCTCTGCCTCCTGGGCAGCGGGGCCCAGGATTTTGGGCCGACGCGCTTCATCTGCACCTCGGTGCCCGTGGACGCCGACATGTGCACCGCGTCCGTGGCCCCCGGCGGCGCGGAGGAGCTCCGAAGCAACGTGCTGCAGCTCCGCGAGACCGTGCTGCAGCAGAAGGAAACCATCCTGAGCCAGAAGGAGACCATCCGCGAGCTGACCACCAAGCTGGGCCGCTGTGAGAGCCAGAGCACGCTGGACACCGGCGCGGGCGAGGCCAGGGCGGGAGGCGGCCGCAAGCAGCCCGGCTCGGGCAAGAACACGATGGGCGACCTGTCCCGGACACCGGCCTCCGAGACGCTCAGCCAACTCGGGCAAACTTTGCAATCGCTCAAAACCCGCCTGGAGAACCTCGAGGTCCGCGCGCGACGCGGTTCCCCCACGGCTCTCGCGCCCCTCTGCCCTCCCCCACCCCATTCTCGACCTGGCCGGGCAGCCCCGACACCCCCCTTGGCAGCGTGCTGACGCCCGTCCCGCGTCTCCCGGAGCCCGCTGAGCCCCTCTGGCGGCCACTGGCGCGAGCTCCCCCCGCCAGGCCGCCCCCGCAGTCGCCCCGAGGGAACCGCGCCATGGGCCTCCCGCACGGTCCCGCTCTTCATGTAACGTTGTGGTTTTCCCCCCGCCCTTGCACCCCGCAGCAGTACAGCCGCCTCAATTCCTCCAGCCAGACCAACAGCCTCAAGGATCTGCTGCAGAGCAAGATCGATGACCTGGAGAGGCAGGTGCTATCTCGGGTTAACACTCTGGAGGAGGGCAAAGGAGGCCCCAAGAACGATACCGAGGAGCGGGTCAGGATCGAGAGCGCCCTGACCTCCCTGCACCAGCGCATCAGCGAGCTGGAGAAAGGTAATGGGCGCAGGGGAGCTGCTGCCTGCCAGGCCGGCTGGCTGCAGGACCCTGCCGCCCTCCTGGCTCCCCCTGTGCAAGCCTCATCTCCCTTGCACCCTTGCAGCCCCCCGCTTCTCCCCAGGGTCAGGGCTGCTAGCTAGTGTTCCGACAAGGCTGGCACCCTGGGCTCAGGACTTCTCCAGGAAGGGGAGGAAGAGAGGAGGAAGGAATTGCAAGGGCTGAGAATCAAGACACTTACACACGGGCTGTATTTTTCAAGTGTGGTTTGTTTAATCTTCAGTAACTTTGCACAGTATCTGTCGTTGGCCCAAACCGTTCCTGGTTAAGAAAGCCTCTCTTTGGCTGGTCCCTGTCCCCAACAGACAGCTGGGTGTGGGCCGGGGCTGGGTCCTCTGGTTCTGGGGACCAATTGGGCTGCTGAGCACATTTTCAGCCACCTCCTTAGTGCCCCTGCTATCTTCTTAAAATCCCCCAGCCCTTGACCTGAGCCCCATCCTTGAGGTTCTCTCTTCTGAGCAACCCAAGGGTGCATCTGTCTGCCTGCCCCCACCCCCCACCAGGTTCCTTAGTTGCCAATTCTGGCTGGACAAGGCTGTCACCCTGGGCACATGGATGAGCTCCAGGTGCCTGACTAGAAGTCCCAGAAATGGGACAAGGTTGTAAAAGGGGCAGGGGGCGCCCCGTGCAGGGGCAGGGCCACGTGACCCCTACTCAGCCCGCAAAATGTGCCGGACAGATTTAAACAGTGCCATCTTAAGGCGCATTATGTAACTGAAAAACAGATCAGGGGAAGGAGGGACCTCAGGAGGGAGGGAGAAGGAGGGAGGGGAGATGAGGGGATGAAAAACACCCTGGAGAGAGGCTAGGGGCTGCCCCCTTCCCAGGCCTGAACCTCAGGGGTGCTGCACTGACGGCCAGGTTTTCTCTGCTCCCTGCTCCCCAGACATTTGGCTTAGAGGGGGAGGGTTGCTGGCCCAGCGGGGCGCCTTCTAGAAATAATTTTTGGCCTGGGGAACTGGTTTTTTCCTAAGCTCTCTGGCAGGACCACAGGTAAACACCCGAGAATCTAGCAGGGGTGTGTGTGTGTGCCTGGGCTCTGGGCCTGGTACTACTGGTGCCCATGCTGGACTAGAGCATTTTCCCTGGAGTCTGTCACATCGTGCCCAGGGGTTGCTACTGTGTTGTATAGGTTGGAGGGGACATTCACTGGAGACGTTGGCCCCAGGGGGGAAGCTGGTAGCTAGGCGAGGGGGAGGCCACCTGTTTAGGGCCTGAGTTGTCAGGAAGCTCACTGAAGACTGTGGCCTCATCTTCAAAGCAGTCACCTTGGGGGGCCCTGCTCCAAGCATCCTACCCCTGCTTCCTGACATCTGGCCCTCTCCCTAGGGCTCCAAGCAGAGTCCCTGGCAGAGCCTCTGAGCTGGGAGGGGGTGATTGTCCCTCTTGAGGGGTGAATGAGATTCTGGAAACAGCCGGAGTCCTCAGGAGTCCGATGAATGATGGGAGTTCAGCATGTCCAACCCTCAAGGGAGGTTTGCTGGGTGAGGGTCTAAGAGAAGAGGTCAGGATGACAGGTTCTGAGTTCTGTCACTGTCCTGAAATCAGGCCAGCCCCTGAGGGCTCCTCTGAGGGGATCTAGCCTCATTGCTCCTTCCTCTGCGGCCATACCTTCTGGTTGCACTGACTTGGTAGAGTGCCCATCCCCTCCTCACACCCACCCACAGTCCAGTGCACATGCCCACAGCCTTGCTGTGCACTACATCCCACCCCTACCTGCCCAGGGCCAGCCAGGCGTGGAGTACAGAGACCTTGGGTCTGCTCTTTCACCAACTGGGCCCTGTGCCCTGGAGCAAAGCACTTGACCTCCAGGAGCCGCCCCTTCTGCATCCACAGAATGGAGACCAGAGCCTGTGTGGTCTGCATCACGGGGCTTGGCTGGGACTAACAGCAACTGAGACACTAATAAGCACTTTGTCAAGGTGCAGACGTCAAGATGTGTTCTACCCTCCGCAGGTCAGAAAGACAACCGCCCCGGAGACAAGTTCCAGCTCACATTCCCACTGCGGACCAACTACATGTACGCCAAGGTGAAGAAGAGCCTGCCAGAGATGTACGCCTTCACCGTGTGCATGTGGCTCAAGTCCAGTGCGGCGCCAGGGGTGGGCACGCCCTTCTCCTATGCTGTGCCTGGACAGGCCAATGAGCTGGTCCTCATCGAGTGGGGCAACAACCCCATGGAGATCCTCATCAACGACAAGGTAGGGCCTCACCACACCTAGGCTCTTGGGCCAGCAGCGCAAGGTGCACAGGGTCCCTGGGTGTTCTGGGCAGGGCTATGAAGGCTGCAAGTGCTGCTGGGCCCCAAGAGAAGTGTTTGCCAGGCAGGACCGAGGGGGTGCATGGTGCAGGTGCTCAGCGACCAGAGAGAACTGGAACCTTCCTAGACCAGCTTCCTGGGGTGGGGGCTGGAGATGAAGAATGATCCCTGGGGCCGATCCAGCCCATCCCACTGGTGTGATCCCAACTCCTCCTCCTCTGCCAGCTGGCCTTGGAGCTGGCTCTGCCCCTCCATGGGTGGGGGCTCAGAGCTGCTCTGGGTGGCAAAGGTACCCCTAGGGGTTTTTTCCAAGTTCAAATCTACTTGTACTTAGCTAGCCTCCTGTCAAGAGAAGGCCAGGGCCAGGTGACCCCTTGGGGGAGGGCTGCACAAGGCAGCCCTTCCCCTTTAATGAACTCTTCCCTATCTTGGCCCCTGTTAGCGGCAGACTCAGCTGCCAACAGTGTTCATAAGGGCTACAGCCATGTTCCTGACACCATGTTGTGCCTTTCTGGGTCCCATTTCCTTGAGTGAGAAGGGTGTGAGGGTTCTTTTCCGCACTCTCTTGCTGTTCCTTCCTTCCTGCCTAGAATGGGAGAGGGGGAGTAAAATTCCAGGGTTAGGCCATCTCCCCTGTGGCATCTCTCAGACCCTCTGCAGAGGACTGCCATGTTGCAGAGCTAGAGGGTCTATTAACTGGAAATGGTGTGGGAAGAGAGAGGCCAGGCTGGCAAGGAGCCCACAGGTGTGGCCCAGAACCTGGAAGGCAGGGGTAGACTCAGGCCTGGGGATCACTTGCTTTGTGAACTACCACAGAGGCAGAAAGGCGCAGGAGTGAGGAGGCCACATGCTCACATCCTCCCTCCCACTTCGTGGTCCCTGTTAGCAAAGCAGTACATTGCCTGTGTGACTCTGCAGCCCACTTGGGGACAGGGCTGGAGGGCAGGTGCTATGAGAATTCGATAACGGTTTTGGAAATTTCTTTCAAAAGTAGAGATAGGAAGAATGCCAGCTGAGCCAGCGAAGATCACTGATTCTGAGTCGCACTCCCTTCCCTGTGGCCCCCTGTGCTTTGTTCCCTTCCCAGGTAGCCAAGCTGCCCTTTGTGATCAATGATGGCAAGTGGCACCACATCTGTATCACCTGGACCACGCGGGATGGCGTCTGGGAGGCCTACCAGGACGGCACCCAGGGCGGCAGCGGGGAGAACTTGGCACCCTATCACCCCATCAAACCCCAGGGTGTGCTGGTGCTGGGCCAGGAGCAGGTACTGGCTGGCCATGCTGGGCCTGGGCCTGGGCCTGGAGAAGGCTTCAGAAAGGTGGGGGGTGGGGTGGGAGTGTCGTTTTCTGAGCAGTAGCCCAGGGAGCAGGTTATGTAGCCGTCTGGGCAATATCCCTGCTCTGGGTGGGCTCATGCAGCACATCAAGCAAGAGCAGACTTTGGTTTCTGTGCTCTCAGTAACTGTAGCTGCACTTCTCTTGGCATAGGAAGGCCAACTCTGCTTTTAACCATGAATAATTTAGTGCCTGTGAAGTGATTTGTCTCCCATTGAGCACCTGGGAGGGAGAGGGGGGATAGGGAATCCAGGCCCTCCAGGCTGTCTTCCCCTGTTGGACAGGTGCCACTGGCAAAGAGTGCCCCTGAGGAGGGCTCTAGACCCTGTGTCCATGTGGTCATGGTCCTTAAGGACCCCTCACCCACTGGCCAGGAGACCAGCTGCAGGAGAGGCAGAGTCCAAGTGCCCCAGGAGAAGGTTCCCAGGCAGAGGTGGTCAGCACCACCTTCCCCCGGGCATCTTCAGGGGAGGGATAGATATTGAAGTGAGACACCCAGACTCTCCCCCTAGGGAAGAGGGGTCCCCAGGTCACCCCAATGGCCTCCACCACCCTCATGTTCTGCTTTTCTCCGAAGGACACTCTGGGTGGCGGGTTTGATGCCACTCAAGCATTTGTGGGTGAGCTGGCCCATTTCAACATCTGGGACCGCAAGCTGACCCCAGGAGAGGTGTACAACCTGGCCACCTGCAGCTCCAAGGCCCTCTCTGGCAACGTCATCGCCTGGGCCGAGTCCCACATCGAGATCTACGGCGGTGCCACCAAGTGGACATTCGAGGCCTGTCGTCAGATCAACTGATGGCTTCAGGCCAGGGCTGAGCCCCCCATGCCCGCCTCCCCTGCTTGTGCGGTGATGACCTGTCTGTCTCTTCCTCTCTCCCTTCCCCCAGGAATGAGCCGAGGCCGTCGCCCCTGCACACGCACACGCACACGCACACAGCCTGGTTTTGTCCTCCTCGTGCACGTGAAGCAGCCCCGGCTCCCATCTGTCCCTGAGGACGTCCCACTCTCTCTAGGAGCCCCGGACTGTCTCTCAGGCGTGCCCCATTCACAGCTAAAGAGCTAAAGCAGGCGGCAGCGGCATGTTGAACAATGCAGAAGTAGGTGAGAGGATCTGTGTGTATGTGTGTGTCTGCGTGTGTGTCTCCGTGTGTGCGTGTGGGGGCGGCTGGAGGGAGGCTTTTTCTCTTAGAAGGAAGGATTTCAAGTCCTTCTTTCTTTGTGGCTTTGAGAGATCTCTTGATGGGTCAAAAATCTGTATATGCCAACTCTATTAGCTGCCCGCGTGCCTTGGGGCTGGTGTGACTTCTCCAGCACACAAATTTGTCTTCATTTGCAGACCTTTTTCAGAGCGACATATGTCTATATTGATATAATAAATGTCTTTTACTGGTTTGTTAAGGGCCAGGGGGGCCTCTCCATGGAGAATTTTTATTTGGTGTTAGGAGCAGATTCTCTCTGAAGATCGAAGGCTGACTGCCCGGGGATAGCACCACATGCTTTCCCGTGGTGGGCAGGTGGCTGGGGTGGGCCAGTCCTGCCCTCAGCCAGGGCCCAGATGACATCCCGGCTCTTTGCATTGAGGGCAGCCTGCATACCCAGCCCAGCTGGCTCTGCCTGTGGCCTTCTCACCTCCTTGCATCCTGCAAGGCTGGGACCCATCCCTCCATTCCAGTCTCCAGTGCTACACTGTGTCAGCCCGGGTGGCCCTGAGAGAGGGGTGTCCCACTCACAGCTGGGAAACCAGGGCCCCGTGACTCTCCCCTTTTGCCTCTGGCATTGCAATACCAGTGTTCAAGAGGGGACCTTTTAGACAAGGGAACCCACAGTCTGATTAAGACCCAGGCACATAGGGCCACTGAGGCTTGAGTCCAGCCAGTCAGTAGGAAGGTCCTCTTGGTGGGACTTTGACAGCCATATCCCCCCAGCACACCCAGGACCAGGGGAGCTGGCTCAGACCCCTCTGAGAGGCAGGGGTTCTCCAGACCTCTCACACGGAGCCAGGCCTGGCCAGGGTGGGGGCCTGAAACTTACTCCCCCATCTTACGGGCTCAAGTGCCATAGCAGACCCCAACCTGTGACCAGCCAGTGACACTGAGACCTGACCAGTGTCCTGAAACTTTGATGTTTTTGTTCCCCATGATAAAGCAACATGAACATGTCCTAGTCCTTCCGAGGAGGGGAGAAAAATGTGTGTGTGTATGTGTGCAAGCGCATGTGTGTGTGTGTGTGTATGTTTAGGGAGAGAGAGACCACTCAGAAGGGCACGCCCCAGTAGGGCATACTCCCTGCTCTGTTGTACCATCTGGTGGTCGTATGCCCCGAGGGCAGCCTGGACTCTGTCTCCAGGAATCTAATTAGTAAAAGGCTGACAAGTCTTTCTAGAAATTCTACCGCACTGCCTGGCTCATCTGCAGCCGCAGACATTTCAGGAGGAGCAGGTGTTTTCATCTTCTGTTCCTTCCAGGGCCACCTGTCCCCTTAAACTAACAGGTCCGTGTTGTGTCGGAAACTTAGTGCGTCTGTGTGTCAGTGTCAGTGTCTGTGTCGTTGTTCTGTGGGCATCTGCACGGCCCTGGTTGCCATTCCACAGGCCCCTCCACCCCCGTGAGAAGGGTGCCGATCAGGCCACGCTGCCCAATGTTGTCCAATAGTGGCTTTTCTTAAATAACTGTGCTTCATCAGCGCCCGCCGGGCTGTGGCATCCTCGGGTCTGCAGGGATCTTCTCTGTGTGCATGTCCTTTGCTCCCTGGGTCCGGTGTGTGTTCCCTTCCTGCATGGACTTCTCCGGTCCTGTGTTGTGTGTCCCGTGACCACCCGTGTAGCTCCCAGACATGGTGGGGTAAGCAAGCCAAGGGTGTGAGAGGAGGCCGAGAAGAGGTCGGTTTCCCTCTCCCCCTCCCCACCCCCAAACACACCAAGAAGCATTTTTAACGTGTAGGTTGAAAACAAGCCTAATGAATTCCCGAAGGTGGGAGAGAGAGCAAGAGAGCTTGGAGTCGCCTCCCAGGACCAGGCCTAGCCCCCACTCCATCTAGGAGTGGTCACATAGGTCGGGCCCCAAAGGGGCTGTGCTAGCGCTCCCTGGTCAGCGCCTCCCTCCAGCCCCAGCCTGGCCAATCTACCAGACCCCAGACCACCTTCTGCCCAGAGTGGGCCAGGTGGGAGCTGTCCGTTGAGGACTACGAGCCATCCTCTGCCCTGACTAGAGAGGGGCAGAGCACACCCCAGTGCTTTTGCCTCTGTCCCTGCAGCCCGGCCTGCTCACAGTCCCTGCCATCCTCTGACCCACCCACAGTGCCAGGGCCGAAGCTGACATTAGCCCCCTCACTGTGTTAACACTTGGCACTTTGCTGGCCCCGAGGAAAGGTAGATGACACAGCAGCAGGTCTAGTCCAGGTAGTCCCCACCTACTCCTTAATCTGATTGACGTTCCCTCTCGCACTGAATTATACATGCCTCTCTCAGGTAAGCCATTTTATAAAACAAGGAGATAGAAAAGCACTGTCCAGACAGTGTATGCTTTTGCTGAGCTGGTGTCCGACAGCTCCCTGGGTGTCCGAGGTGGGGAAGCTGCCCGCTGAGGCTCTCCGGGCCCTCAGGGGCTGACATCCCACTTGAATCGTAAGCCTTCTTGCTTTTGATAACACAGTATTATTTCTCTTACTGTAGAAGAAAAAGTTTATTACCAAACAAGAGTATTTTTATGAAAGTAAAGGACAAACCTATAAATTAACTCAACCTATATATCTCCCTTAAAAATACTTTCAGGCTTTACCACATGTAGGACTGAAAGCATGTATTTTGGAAGAAAGAGATACGTTTTGTATGCTTTCTTTTCCTTTTGTAGATTCCCAGTTTGTTTTCTAAGACTGCAAAGATCTTTGTCACCAGCCCTGGGACCTGAGACCAAGGGGTCGTTTTATGGGCAGTTGAGGGGGTGGGGAGAGGCTGGCATGAGGTTCGTAGCTGTTCCAGTGAGCTCCAGAGAGGAGCCACCTGTTCTCAAAAGTGTGCTGGGGACCAGGAGTTAAAATTGGCCATTTCTAGTGGACCCTTTGTTTCCGAGCTAAGTGGAAGAAGCTGAGGATTTGAATATCAGTTCCAAATGTGGCGGGAGAAACTTGGGTTACTTGTTGTTGACATCAAGAGGAAAGAATCCTTTGTAATCTTATGATAACCAAATATGGCTTGAAGAAATCATGGTTTCATCTCTTAAAACACAATGTGTAAATTTATTCAACTAATGACAGGAAAGTCTCACTTTTGTGCACAGAGGACTTAAGTGCAGTATGTTGGAGGGGAACAAGTCATTGAGGAGGAAAAAAAGCCCAATACTTAGCGTCCCGATTTTGTCTTATTTGCCAAAAAATTTAGAATAAGCAAACTCCCTAAGACTGATATTGTTATAATGTATATACTGTATAATAAGGAAGAGAATCGGTGTATCTTACTTTTTCATTATTTGCTGACCAAAGCTGTACATTTTTCATATGATCTGCAGCCTTTTTGGGGTATCAAATGGGTCAAAACCATGGGACCTACCGCCTCCCATCAGCAGTTCTGGAAATGCACTATTTCTACTGGTATTATTGCTTTTTTTTTTCATTTTCTTGCTGAAATGACATGAATTGTTGAGTTTATTTTTACACAGTAAAGAGTGAAGAAAGACTGTGGTCTCCTTGTAATGTCTGTTCTTTTCTGAAGCTGGCCAGCACCACGGCATCCTGCCCAGCTACCCCCCAGCTCCTCCTTCCTCACCTGCAGTGTCTGGGCAACCCTCACCTTCGGGGGAAGCATGCCTTCCATCTGCATTGCACTGTGCCTCTCTGGTGATACTTGGGCGCGGGGATCCCAAATGTCACAGGGGCAGCTGACACAGGCAGAGAGAATCCAAGTGATTTCCCGATTCAGCAAGGCCACTGTGGGCCCACGGCACAGAGTAACGTCCCACCTCCACCCCCTGCGGCCCTGCTCCCTCCTGGATGAGTGTGCCACAGCGCTGCACAGGTTCCGGGTAGCCTGGGCTCGTTATTCCCAAACAGCCCTGTCCTTTGTCCTTGGCCATATCCTGCCTACAGGTACCTAGCCTGTGTCTGATGGCCATCCCTCTTCAGGGGTCCAGATCCCTTCCGTGCAATCAAGTCCTAGGGTGTCCCCAGACCCACGTAACGATGGATGGCATGGGAGCTCTGGGCCTTAACTTGATCCTGGATGTATGTGAGCTTGCCAGCTGCTCCCTTCCAAGGGACAAAATGACCAGGACCCAAGCACCCAAGTATGAGTGATCCCAGGAGACTTACAACTGGAATTCATGGGACAGGGAGCCCAAACAGCATACCTGGTGGCTTGGGTACCCCCACATCACACACAGTCAGTGGAAGGGACCAGCCACTCTGGCCTGCCCAATGCTTGGTATCCCCCAGGATACCAAGGCCAGGACTCAGGAGCTGGGGTTTGGTGGGGTGTGAGCAAAGGTTTGGCCTCAGCAAGGCAGGCAGGTCCCCCTCACCATGGCCCTGGACCTGGCGTGCAGGAGGCCTCAGCCTGCTTTTTCCAGGGCTGTCCTGGGTGGGTTGCTGTCACCAGGCCTGGGGTTGCGCCTGATTCCAGCACTCCCATCTGACACCACCTCACACCTCCTGCTCAGAAGAGCGCATAGTCTGTGGTGACCCTACACTTACACTTCTGGTTTCTATCTAAGAGCTCCTTCAAAAATTCAGGTGTTGTAACTATTGTGAGAAACAAATTGCCTTCCACATCTCTCACACCGGATCTTGGCCTGCAGTGAATGGCTTAGGGCCGAGGAGCTCAGAATAGCAGCTCAGGATGCTGCAGGGCCTGGTGGCCTGGGCGGAGGGACACAGGCTCAGGATTTCAAAGCCACAAGGCATCCTGGAAGCTACCAGGAGGTGTCCAGGCTCCAACAGCCTGTTGGATGGATGGAGTTGTTCTTGGCTTATGTTTCCAGGGATGGGGGACTCACTGCCCCAGAGGGACAGGCTGCTCTGTTTTCTGACGCTCCGTCAGTGAGCTTGCTCCTCCCCTTCCTGGCTTTCATTTTCCCTCACACAGAGCTGCACCTTCCACACATCTGACACGTATGTGAG